TACATGGAACAAAGTGGACTAATTTTAAAAAGTGAGATCAAAATTTCCATGCTTTCCAAAATTTCCAGAGTTGTGGCATTAATGCTTTTCAGCTGCTGAGGAGGACCAGCCTCAACAGAAGTCTACTGCATAGGCATTATACAATTGCTGCTCCAGCAAGTACTTGCAGTTCCTATTTATATTTCCCATTTACACAGGGCATGGTGCAAGGCCAGGTGCTGGCATTTGTACCAGCTGCAGCTCATACGGGAAGAAATAAGGCTCAGAGAAAGCCAAGGGTTGTAAAGTTCCAGTGTGGATTGTCCCCTGCCTCCAGTGGAAAAGTTATCCCCAATTCATTCTTTGTAGTGACCTGGCAAAAAGCATTGGATTTGTGTTAGGTGGTAAGACCTAATCTTTCTCTAAAGAAAAGCAATTCTGGTTAGAGTATTTTCATTTTTATCCATAATTTTACAATGACAATACTGAATATGGCATAATCTGTACTCAGTGCTCCTCCTCCACTTACTTCTCCCATCAACAGATGTAACAGGGCTATAGGTCTCAGTGCATCCTTCTGAGGTGTTACAACATAAACTGTCCAAATGGTGCTATCGTGAAGAAACAATTTCCCTAAGTAGAATAATAGTGTTTAAACTAAAGATGTAATAAGACTTGCCCAAGGCAAGAATAAAGACATAGCCTACACAACACAATGATAAAAGACAATCGATGAGATAGTCCATTGCTGAAGTTGGAGGGGCCACCACATCCCACGCCACTCATGACAGGAAGGAAAAAATCCCTTTGAATTCCGATGAACTCTACTGAAATTCAGAATGACATTGTACGAGTTATTATATGCTCCTAGCCAGCAGCTTGAAAATGACCTTAAAATCCCTTCATTGACAGGCTCTGTGAATTAGTGAGTTTTGCTAATTCATCCATACAGGTTTTCTTGCTCACCCTGACCTCTGTTTGTTTGCAAAGCCTTATGGTGAAAGCTGCTCAAGCCAGAGGCTATTGTTCATATATGCCCAGCAAATGCTAAATAGAGTCTGGATAATATTGAAATCCTTTTTATGAACTTTTCCCAAAGCCCACATCTTAGTTTTCACCTAAACAGCATCTACTACCAAAAGAAAACCTGCGTGAGAAATGAATCTCAGAGGAAAACTTACACAATTTAAAAAGGAAAACTTAGCTGCAAACTTGAAAATTCTTTTCTACCTTTCATCCAGATCTCTCTCTATTCTCATCTAGATCTTTAAAGTCATTTATCTCATTGGCTCCTGGAGCCTAACAGAACGGGCTCCCCAGCTTACTCACYCCAGGGCAAGCTGGGCTCTTTGCACATCTCGCTTAGATTCAAAGGCAATGACTAATGGGACTAATGCCCAAAAGCCAGGCAGAGATGGGCCCAATCCAAAACCATCTAAACCAACAGCACTTGGGAACTGATTACTGTCCTCACCAATACAGACAGAAATTAAGCCTTACTAGAATTAATTAGCTCTTATGTCCTCACAGTGCACTGAGTTTTAAATACTTCCTTCTGATACAGCAATAAAATTAAAGTCTTTAAATGTGTTTATCTTTTTCTGTGCACAGACTCTCGAAAAATACCACTATACAGCAAGTTAAGAAATAGTCCGTAATTCGAGCGTAATGCTGACATCATTTCATTAATAACCTTTCCATACAGCAGGCATGCATTGGGTCAAAAGGACTAAGAAGAAATGGATGGGATCAAAACGTGGCCAACTCCAAGGAGCTGACCTCAGTAACACTCCTTTCAGATGCCACAGTCTCTCATCTAGCATTTGCTGGCAAGTTCAGAATTATTTCATTCAGTTATCAATAAAAATATAAATATACACTGGAACTACAGCTAAGAACTATTCCTCTTCCTCTACTTCTGTACGCATTGTAGAGATGGTGTCCCAAGATGCTGGCATGGGGCAGAAATCCATTTCCAATATAATTCCCCCAGTCAGACAATCATTATGACATATACAGTGTATTTCAGTTGTTATACAGAAGTATTATCTTTTCTAAAGTTTGCTATTTTGGCATGCAAGGTCACTTTAATGAATCATATGAGTAAAAGAGAGCCACGAAATTTAGATACAAGCTTCAAGGTACTAAATACTCGAGCATGCTTGATTACATCTCACAGCAAAGATATATTGGTGCTTGGCTTCTTTTTAAGCTTTATCATTAATGACCAAAGCTTATACATAAATCTAAGACGGTACTGAGGGTTGCCAAGCTGGCTTTTAATTGGATTTGCCAGGCTAAATCCAATTCTTTGATAAAGCATTTGAAATTTGTGTTCAGTCCATTAAGATCAAAACTGCGATATAAACATTTCATTCACAGATTTCAGGTGCTCTAATTTTCAGTTGTCACAGAAAAAAGTTATTTAAGCAAGTCTTATGCTGATATTGGTTTTGAAGCCTGATCTACTTTTATGGCATATTTTATTCTACCAGAAACACATGTGAAGAATTTTAAAAAGCCTAGAATTTTACATAACCCCCACCCCAAATGGATTTTTGCCGTATAATACAAACTGTTCTGACATCCGCGTGGTCTGGTTTTGCTTAAACAGAAAACGCATGCCCTGGAGGTAAATGCTTTGGTCTCTGCATCTGAAGAGGAGGAATCAAACTCACATGTTGCATATTAGACACATTTAACCCCTTTTGTTTCCTCCTCCTACAATGCCTAGGTTCAGCCCAGTTTAATTATCTGCTCAGTCATCTCCTCCCATGCATCAGGTTTCACTAATAATATTAGAATTTGAGAGTTATTCCAAGGTGCTGAAGGATTTTTAGGATTTCAGGAGCTGGCAAAGTCTGAAGCTGTCAGTGATTTGCATTGCTCATTAAATCAGGGAAATCAGTTTTAGGGATTATAGCTCACTCAGCCCTTAACTAAGCAACAATCAGTGGCTTTCCAAGACTCTTAAAAGCACTAAATATGCCCTTAGGAAGAGGGRGCTTTTGGGACAGGATAGGACAATTTCCCCAAACAGAGAAGCAGCARTGAGAAGGAAAAAAGACTCAATGTTCACAGAAGTCGATTGGAACAAACCCCCTCCCCACCACGGTTCCTTATGAATTGCTAGAGGCAAACCTTGTAACAAAATTAGCTTTTCCAAATGGTAAAAACAGAAGGTGGCAAATTGTGACAAATTCCCAGGGCTCATACACCAGCCTGCAAGCTTTTTTTTTTTTTTTTTTTTTTTTTTAAATAGGAATGCAGACTGGGAAATAGTCACACTCTTAATAAGGAAGCAAACTACCCTGAAGTCAAATCATGCTGATAAATAACAAAGCAGGTTACATTTCCTATTGACAAGCCCCACTGGCTATTTCTGCATCTCAGGGAAACTAGTTGAAAAGCATTCAGATAAAGTGGTGGATAGATGGCCTGTGTGTTAAGCTCTGCTTGCTTCTTGAATATTGCACAGGATATGAAACTCTTGGAAGAAGGGAATGGATAAAAGAGTATACTTTATTAATCTTTATTAATATGACTCCATGAGACCCTAAAAGATAGCTCACCTTATAAAATATCCTACTTCTTGATTTATGGAATCTCAGAGTGGACTGTATTTTTGAAAGYGAACTAAATTCATTGTTCCTCTAGTCTCAGACTAAGTACGAAAGGATGAATTCAAAGCTAGGCATMCAAAATTGCCTTAGATTTCATTTGCAGTAAATATCACATTTTTCCATTGCTCTGAGAATTAAGGCCAATAACACAGCCAGACCAATTCACTCTCCAAACCTAAAAGAGCACATACATGCCTCATGTAGTGGGGGGCAAGAGAAACCGATTATTGCAAGCACTGCTACTGCCCTTCCCATGGCAGCTTGGTCCTCATATGTAAGCCTACATTGTCCAGTTTCAGTCCTAGAAACAGAAGCAGAGTTTATTTATGCAAACATTGAGGCACAACTGGCCACAACTCCAGGCCACCCCTGGACAAAGGGTTTGGGATTTTTTTAATATAAAAATAATAGGAATGGAAAAGAAAAAGATTTTTGCCCAGACAAGAGTGYACCTTTTCAGACTTCTGCAGCTCACCCAACATCATGCTATGTTCATTACCCAGAGTTTTGCTGCCAGCTTAGTGGGACAGACTCACCCAATTTCATCTTTGCACGTCTCTGCAGGTGTCTAATGGGTGTTTCTTGACACCAAGATAAAGGCYGTACAGGGTTCCAAATCTTAAATCCCGTTGGAAGCACTTTTGCTGAATTAATGTTGTTGGTATCATAAGAACTACAAATAAATCTCCTCAGATCACCTAAGCCCTCATGTCAGTATAATTTCAAACAAGTCTAGATGAAAAAATATCAACCACTCCAGGTTTATCTGCTCTGTCCTAATAGCACTGGATGCCCAGGTTACAAGAGGAAGAGTTCTTCGAAAAAACAATGAGACAAGCATGGATAAATTGCATCAAACACTAACACCCAAACTTATTGGCAACACTTACCAGTAAAGCTAGAGCCAACAGAGGCAAGCTGAGTTAAAMGCTCTGTTAGCTGCAGAGCTGGCCCTGTTTGCAGCAAAGTGTGTCCTGCTCCTGTCCTCCCCACACCTGAGGGCAACTCCCCATTTCTCAACACTAATATTAACTTCACTGCACCCAGCTCACAGCCTCAGCCTGGATAGCCAACACTCCCTGACCTACACGAGGTGCACACACACACCCCAGAAGAGCAGTTTGCAGAAAACTGCTRACCTTGAAGGCACTTCGTTTTCTCCAGTGGGCACGAACACTCACACACAGAGGCATATTATCCATATTATCCAACTCAATGTGTGGGGTGATACAATATTATGCATATTATCTCCACCAGCAGGAAGGAGAGATAAGTCTAGTTACAAATCAGCAGCTCTCTGTGTTCCACTACACCTCTGGCACAAGGTTATGCAAAAGGAAAAGTTTTTGCAGCACAAGGCAAACGAGCAGATTAAACTTGAATTTTAAACCTCCTTACCTGTACTATTGTATCCCTGAGGCTTCAGCTCTCCACCTCACATCTGTGCCAACAAACAGCTTACATTTTGTCCAGCTTATTCAGTCTCTTCTCATCTTGAGCACTGAAGATGGAAGGCTGAATGTTCCCAGGCACCCCTGAGCATGAAGGTTTGACTTTAACTTTAAGTGTCACTGTAAGTGATTAAAAGAATGAAGATTTCAGAGTTTTTTTGGTTTGTTTTTTGGGTGGGACCAGCAAAGTGGGATCAAGATCCAAAAAGGGAGAGAACGGGGACAAACCACACACATATGAGGCAGAAAGCCTAGAGGGAAAAGCATTCAACCAGAGAACAAGGAGTCCACCTGCACCATACACAAGACCTTATTCCGTGTGGCTGAGCTGCTCTGGGTTAAATACCTCTGTCACCATCACAGGTGTTTCCAATAGGTTGAGAATTACATTGCTGATTTGCAAAGGTGACTCACCACATTCTTTTTAAGAATTAAACAACTTAAAGCGCTTGATAACATGAGCATACCCACAATACTAATCTGAGGATTGCTGAGATACTGTTTTATGCCTCCCTTTATATTCAAATTAACAATATTTTGTGTCCTTTTTGGATTTCCTTTCCAGAGGTTAATGCTAGAGAGAAGAAGTTAAGGGAAATATATTACAAAAATGTTTTTCAAAATCTTACATTGTAAATTTGTGGAAAGCGTTTTGTCTTTGGGTGGTTCCACTCTACAAACTAGCAATGATGCTGAAGACACACAGGAAAAAATGACTCTGCCAGATCCAGATGAAGACTTCACCACTATTGTTGAATATCCGCTATTAACACATTCACATGCAGAAAGCAGGCTCRGGTCTGATGTTTGCGTGTGCAGGTGCTGGGTGGTAATGACCATACTCCCAACCTTGACCACGATGCTTCTTCCCTTCTGGCACTTGCAATGCCTAATAGGGGGACTATAGCATGACCTGTACATTCTTCATATGACCATGAGCAGTCAGAGCTTGTAGGTCAAAGCTACCTGGTGTCCTCCTACGTCAAGACAAGTGGATGCTACTCTCAGTGTAGAGTTACTCTTTAAAATGCCCATTTTAACCTTAGACATTACCTGAAAACACACTGCACCTTAGCAGGTTCAGAGAGAAACTGTTCAATCACTAGCATCATCATCAACATTTCTCATTATCTCTTCTTCAAGGCTTTGTGGTATATCAGCTCATCAGCATAAAAGATCAAAACTTCATTTACAAGACAAATGCCGTAAATAAGAAATTAATTCACATGGATTGGCTGATAGTGAATGAGAATGGGGATGTTAATTTCAGTGACAAAAAAAACCCTCTTGAGCCAGTAATTAAATTCTGCTCCACCAGATATAGCCAAGCACATGCTCCGCCTACACAAGGACTGATTAACTGACCCCAAAATGACATCACCCTCCAAGCAGGGGGTATCAAACCATCCTACTACATACCCGGGAGACATCACTGAGCCCACGGTATCACCAGAAAGGGAGAACCTGCCCTTTTCTGCCTTGCAGAGCAATCTGTGCTTGCAGAGCAGCGCAGATGTTCTTTCTTGTCTGTCAACATCTCGGGCCCAGTCGCTTCCAAAGTTTCTCGCTTTCAGAATGAGGTTAAGTAGACTCCTTTGAAACAGAAACAGCCATGGTGAACCCTGGGTGGAGCTTGGTGCAAGCGTTCATGTATCTGTGTTTGCACAAAGCTGCCTCCCTGGCTCAGCCCGGCTAAGCGATGTGTGTGATTTGCACTGGGAGAATGGCAGGGCTCCAGTTCATGCTGGACATCGGATCCYAGGCTCTGCCTTTGCAAGTCTCTTTATCCAGATTGATGAATACAAGCTTCAGAAAGAATATTTCAGCAACCTCATGTAAGGGGCATTACTCACTGCTGCTTGGGTGCCTAAAAAGGGCCATCAATTTTTGTCAAGCAGACAGCTGAAACCTTAGCAGGGATGCAGCAGGCTCCCTGACCCTGAGCTTTTGTTCTCCTCCYGAATCCATAGCTCCAATGAGACCAAAAGTGAGTTTGGACTCACAGGTCTGCACCATCCTACTGATTAGGAGACTACAGCCATCACATTAGAGCTCAGTCCCCTGTTCTCCCAGACTATCCTTACTGACATCCACCAGTCCTGACGGCATCTGCTGAAAGTCTTGGGCTGTCTTGGATCATCTCAAAGATATAGCGCAATATCCAGCTGCCATGGACACCAGAGGATTGCACATCTGGACCTCACGTGTCAAAACACATGCTGGCAATCTATGGAGGCAGGGATATTACATCTTCAGACTCTTTCCTCTTGTGAAGCCACATCTCAGGGACATTTAAGCTGTGAGCCTCCTCACTGATCCRTCTACTTTCTGAAGCAAACAGACATTTAATAAACAAAGAGGCTAGAAAGACAGAAAACAGCAAAGTTTTACAACTCAGGAAGTGTAATTAAAATATATCAACCCCTTAGAAAAGCACTAAATTTACATGCAATACTTTTGGATAATCAGTTGTGTGACATCATTTTAAAATTGTCTGATCACCAAAATTCCTGAAATCAAAGAGCAAATAAATGGGGCTGGAGTGGATTTCACCACAAAGCAGAACTAGAGGTTGGTTGGAGTGGCAGGATTTTGCTTAATATCACACGTACTGCTTTGTAGYTTGGAGAAGAAAAATCGATTTTCCAGACACTGCTATAAAACATGCCAAGGAACAAATGTAAACCAAAGAAAGCACRAGCTATAACTAGGTAATAAAGCATTCAAATTTTTCTTGTAATGGTCATTTATGGAAGGAAGGAATTATCACATATTTAACTTTGCTCCCTCTGTGCTCTGTGTCACAGGTCAAAAGACAAGAAACATTTATAGAAAGTAGAACTGAGTGTTAAAACCCACGTGACAGAGGCTTAGCTGAATTGATGAACAACCTGGGACCAGCATCCAAATGACTTGTTCAGCATCAAACCACCAGCGACATTGGCATAACCCTGCGAGCACGGAAGAGCACAACGTATTAGGAAAAAAAGGGATGAAAAGAAATCCTATCTTGGATAGAAACCCCATTCTGTCCACYGAGGTCCACTAGCAAGCAATGACAGAAAGCTCAGTAATGTTAAAATATTTGGATTCTTTTTACTATTACAGAGCAAGACAGGTGCATATGATTGACCCTCCCCTGGGCTCAAAGGAGCTACATTCCTTTACATTGCTTTAGACTGTGCTGCGCAGTCTAAATAAACTCATTTTTAAACATAATAACTCATTTAAATACATTTCTTAACCTATGCCAGAAGTTATATAACCACATAAATGTATGCAATCTATACACATCAAAGGGAAACCTCAGAGATGCAAGCAATTGCTGCCGAGTGATGCAAAATGAACTAGCATTGAGCACTGAGTAAAAGCAGCTGTGGGATTCATTATGTATTGGTCTCTGTAACTGGAAGCTTAAGACAAGAACAGCACTGATTTACTCCATCAGTTATGGCTTATTGCCATCTTGACATGTTTGCTTTCACCAATTGCTGTTTCATTTCACATTTCATGCATCTTTACCTCTTTCTTTCCCTTTTCTTTAATTAATGACTTCTGGTAAATACATCAGACTCACGTAGATCCTGTCAAGGGGCTGAAAGTCAGAGCTCAGAGCTGAATTTATCATTCGCAGCTGGCTCTGGAGCCAACATCTGTAGGGACACATCAGTGAGGACTGGGCACTGCCATCCGCGCAGTGACCCCCAGGGGACACTGAAGTGATGGTAACGGAGAACCCTGTGATCTGTCTCTTGGACACAGGATAGGGATTATGTTGCGGTGATCCGGAATGGAAATTCCATGCTTTTGAAAAGAGTCTGTTTTGTCTCCAGCAGTTTAACAGTTACAACTAACTGTTCAGAAACCAAATCCTTGGCTCTGAGGCTGAACCTCGCGGGATACGTCCTGTGTTTCCTGCAGGAGTTGTGCTGGCGCCTCCGCTTCCAAGAGCTGGACATTGGCATTAATCCCACCACCCACACCGCAAAATCCTTCTTGCTCRGGTCAGGCAAGCCCAGGTGTGGCTGCGGATAAGCAGTATCACTGCAGCAGCAGCCACCGGAGGACATGTCCTTCACCCTGCGTTCTCCGGACACGGGTTATCTCCATGTACAGAGCAAAGCTGAGCAAATCCTGCATGTCGCTTCCAGAAAAGGGGGGTGGGATGCTATTATTGGTGTCCTAATGCAGCTGTAATTAAAAAGAAGTGAACTTCTCCAGTTAATTTATTGCAGGTTCTCCCTGAAATAACAAATACCTCAGCCTGTTTCTGAAAAAAAACAGCAAGGAGCTGGCTGGCATCATGTGAATTTTACACTTCCCTCAGCTAACACCAAGCCTTGGACCACATGGCACCTCTCAGGGACATCACAAGGATTTGTTATACTCCAGTGAGGACTGCAGGCCCATAAAGCAGCAAACTATGGCAGTGAAATGTAAATATGACATTTCCATCTATGATGGACACAATATTATTCCCCAAAAGCTTTGGGAGGGTCATCGTGCTCCCTTTGCTGAGAGCACAACTTAAAAACCCTCACTTTAAAACTRTAAAAAGAAGGAAAATATAATTAACTGGTTTTATTTAATGAAATGGAATAATTGGCTTATCCTTTCTTTGCTAAGCTTTTCATACAGATTAAAGGCTACAAAGAGAAAATCAAGTTGAAAAGAACTGGGAAAACTGCTGCTTACTTATTTTAGTATGGATTAAAATTTGTAGTATAGTGTCAGATCAAGATYTTTTTTTCCTCTAGTTTTCTATCATAAACATGGCTTTACACACTGATGAACTAAAGGATCTCAAAACCTCCTGGGTACTTTACTCAGCACCTGCTATAAACTAGAGCCAATATGACTCAGCCGGTCAGCCACAAAGGGAAGTTTCTCTAGGTACCTCATTAATGTAGAAGAATAAATTCCATGTCAAAAACAACTTCATTGCAAGGAGCAGATATTCTTAAGGTACTGAGGCTCTGAAAGTCGAGGAAAGGTATGTAGTGGGATTTCTAGAGCTTACTATTTAGATTTTATARCATTTGCACATTTACCTGGATAGGCAGGTAGACCATGCTCAGTCTTGAGCCGGTCCTTCAGGTTAACAAGTACCACTTTTGAACTCAGAGTAACTCAATAATTCAGCTGATATGACAGTTTTAACCCAATTAATAATTCACAAGTGCACATAAAAATCTTTAAGATTATTTTTATCCACGCATCAGACATGCAGACCACTCCAGAGGGTAACATTCACATTTGATTCTCCCTTTGAAAACAGTCCAGTGATACCAGAATCACACA